TTGTGTGACTGAGTGGAGGAGGGAAGATGGATGAAAACAAGTTTTCAACTTTACAATACGTCAGAGATTTGCACCTGAGAGAGCATGACTATATCCCAAAACTCTGGGATGCCAAGTCAAGAGTGTTCCAATTTCAAGGCAAACCTGTAGAATTTATTGACTTACCAAGAATACCTTGACATAAATTTTAATTAAATAAAAATATGTCTGCCATGGTCAGGGAATTAGCTCAGTAGCATAAGTGCCTCTGTGTCAAATGCAAGGCCCTGAGTTTGATATCAGATATAGATAGATAGATAGATAGATAGATAGATAAATAAATAAATAAACAAATAAACAAATCTGCCAAAATAGGCTAGTTCAAAAGCTTTGATTTAAATCCTTGAACCACAAAAAATGAAAAACAACCAAAATAACCAGAGGACCTGGGGTATGCCTGCTATCTGAGTATGCTGCAGCCTGAGGCAGGAGGATCTAGAGAAGTTCTTTGGTAGCCTGGCCTTCATACTGAGTACAAAGACAACTTAAACTATTTCCTGTGATCCTGTCTTAAAAAGCAAAAGAAATCACAACCATTACCACCAACAAAATCCACACATATCAAAGCGGGATATGAAAGTGCTAATGTAAAATGTTGTATACATGCTTTATGAAATTTGTGTGCAGTACCTTGTGTTGAGTACGGCTTTTGCTCAAAGCCACAGGTTTAGGTCTTGTTTCTTTTCCTTTTTCTTGCATTTTGCTGATGTTGAGACAAGATCTCACTATGTTCCCATCTCATGTAGACTTTGTAATTCTTCTGCTATATATAATCTCATGGGCAAGTGACATTTGACAGATGGGTAAATATACCTCCTTATATGAAATTTTACTCAGCTCCACTTTAATGTTATTTATTTATTTATTTATTTACTTATTTATTTTAGAGACAGTCTTGTTATAGTTCAGATTGCCCTTGACCTTATGTACCCCAAAGTGGATACAAACTCAAAAGTGATCCTAGCATCTCACCTTTTGCAGCGATACAATTGTAGGTGTGCAACAACAGCTATACTTTGTTTTTAATCCTCATGTTGATTAAAAAAAAAATCATGACTCACCTATCATTTTTGTTGTTCTCCTTTTTTTAATCTTTTTTCTTTCTTTTAGTTAGAGCTTCATCAGACCAGCCTTGAATTTACTAGGTAGCCCAAGCTGCCCACAGTTTCATATTTATTTGGCTACTGAAGCAATCTATGTACTAGAATTTAAATTGTGTGCTATCTGGGTTGAATGAAATATAGAAAATGCAATGTGAAAAATTAAGTCAAATTTATGCAATGGATTCAAAATACTATTTGGGAAATTAAAAATACATTAAAATCTGAAGGGGGCCGGGGAGATGGCTCAGTAGAAGAAGTGCTTCCCTGGCAAGCGCAAGGGCCTGAGTTCAACTCCCAGTTCTAAAAAAAAAAAAAAAAAAAAAAAAAAAAAAAAAAAAAAAAAAACCCAAGTGTTAAAATCTGAAAAAAATACTTGAATAACATTCATGATGATGTCTTAGTCCTTCAAGACAAGATCATGGCTAACTATCATGAAAAAAAAGATCTCTTTAAGAAAACAAAAGTTTAGGAAATAACAATTCAACAGCTGTAAGAAAATGCAAACAATAATAATATAACTATAATTGGTGTCAGTGAAAAACCAGTAGTCAACACAAATGACCTAAAAAACTACTTACAGAACAGCAGAAAATTTTCTGAGCATGGAAAACCTGGCATACAGCTAAGTGAGGCACATAGAACTCCAGTTAGTCATAAAAAAAATTAAGCTACAACAAGACATAATAATCCAGATTCCAGAAATTCAACAGAAATATGCAATATTAAAAGTGTTAGGTAGGGCTGGTGAGATGGCTCAGTGGTCTAAAGCACCTACTTAGAACAAGCTTAGCAAAGCACAGGGACTGCAGTTCAATCCCCCAGCACCACATGCCAGCCAGCCCGCCCCCTGGTGGGCTGAGCTGGCCACATACACACACGCACACACACACATACATAAATAAAATTAAAAAAAAAGCGTTAGATAAAACGAATAGAAATATCTTCTATAAAGAAAAGATCATCAGAATCATGGCAGATTTCTCAACAAAAATACTCAGGTCAAGAAAAAACTTAAGTGAAGTGTTTTATGTCCTAAAGGTAAACAACTTCCAGCTCCAGATGATGCTCACTGCAAAACCAGCTTTCAAAATTCGGAAAAGGAATATATTTCCCTGATAAAGAAAGACTAAAGCAATTCATGACTATAAAACTGACCCTACAAACACTAGTGAAAGATATTCTTTGAAAAAATTAAAATGTCCACATTTCTAAGAATGACATCAGAAACTAACCACCAGGCAGGGTAAATAGTTAAACAAAAGGGGAAAGCAGGAAACCAACAGCAGGAAAACATAATAACAAAGAAAAGCCAACACATATCATTTGTAAACATCAATGTAAAAGGCCTCAACTCACCAGTCAAATGAAGTAGAATGGGAGAACAAGTTAAGAGACAAGATCTAGGAATATGCAGTATACAAGAAACATATTTAATTAAGAAGGAAATTCATAGACCGAAAATCACTGGATGGAAATCAAACTGCAATGTAACAGGAATCTATAAGGTGCACCATTATGTTTACAAACAATGTCAAATTTGAACCAAAAATGATAAAAAGAGATCAAGAAGATCAGTGCATTCTTGTTATGGGAAAAATACAAGAGGAAGTGATAACAATAGTAAAACAGCATGCACCAAATATGGGAGCACCCAACTAACACAACTGTCATAGCAGAAATTAGTATCTCATTGTCAGAAATAGATCATTGAGACAACACGTCAGTAAAGAAATCACAGAATTGGCCCACACCTGTGAACAAATGCACTCAGTAGACATTTAGTCTTTCCCCTAAAATTATCGGAGTACACATTCTCAGTTGATCAAGAGATGTTCTTTAAAGTAGTCTATAATCTAGCCAATAAAACATGCTTAAATAAATGCAATGATATTAAAATTATTATATACATATTATTTGAGCAGGGGGGCTTTGCCAGTTGGGGGGTTTTGCCAGTTAGCTCAGTTGTTTAAAACACCCCTTCGGCAAATTCAGTCAGGTTCATAATATGGAGTTCGATTCCCAGCTTGAGAAGCTGCACCAGACCTGCCCTTAAGGCACCCGGAAGTCACCAGAAAAAAAAAAAAAAAACCACACCTCCTCATATTATCTGACCATAGTGCAAAAATGTTGAAAATTAATGGAATAAACTTCAAAAACTCCATAAATGCATTGAAAATAATTAACACACTCCCAAACAATCAGTGAGTCACAGATGGAGGGGCTGTGGAGATAAAGAAACCCTTCTCCACTCTTGGGGGAAATGGAGAATGATACAACCACTGGGAAATCAGGAAGGAGATTCCTCACAAAACTAGGATCGGAGGTCCCATTCAACCCAGGCATTCTCTTCCTAGGTATTTTTTCAGAAAAGCTGAAAACATCATGCCTTAGTGGCATATGAGGAATGGGTAAAAGATGCAGTATTTTTATACAATGGAGTGGGACTCATTGTAAAAAGATAAATTCAAGTCTCTTACAGGTAAATGGATGCAACTAGAGAACATGTTCATAACTGAAATAAATCAGACCTGCATGTACAAACATACATATCTCCATACTGTGACAACTTAAAAGAGTAAATCGAAGGGAAAAGGTACAATGGGTACTGTGAAAGGGAAATAAACTGTTTAAAGGGAAGAATCAATTAGGATGCATGAAAGAAGAAAAGAAAGAAGGAAAAAATATGTATATATATAAGATAACATGAATAATTGTACTGCTGATTTCTCTTGGTGTATTGAAAAGAGTAGAGTAGGTAATGTTGAAATATTTGTTTGTTTGTTTGTTTTGGCAGAACCTGGGGGATTGAACTCAGGCCCTTGCACTTGCCAGGGAAGTGCTTATTCCGCTGAGCCATCTCCCCGGCCCCTGAAATGTTTTTCTTTCTCACCTTTAACTTACTTATAATTTTGTTGACCAATTATAGGCATATATCTAATAATATGAGCAATTAATTCGCAGACAGCAATATGCAATATAACAACCATTATTGAATTCCCATAATTTTCCTTAGTGAAATTCTGTGTAGTTTGTAATTATTTTTACTATTTTTTGTAAAATAGTAATTTATATTACTATTTTAAAAAATACTATTATCATAAAAAATATTAATGATACTATTATCATTAAAAAATTTAAAAAGATGGACTGATGAGATGGCTC